CAACAAACTGGTTGGCTGGTTGGCCCATCGGCAAAAGAAATGCGCAGAAAATAGACCAGCCATCGCCGGACGGCCGATCTCTCATTACGCAAAGGCAGCCGACTGACCATGCCACGTGCCAGTGACCAAACAGGCACCACCGATGTGTCTCTGTCTGTCGCTCCTGACCGGCGAAGGCGTCACCACCGAGAAATACCAGTTAGTCAGCAGCAGCAGCACATCCACATCCACGAAGACCAAACCCAAAGCCCAAAGCCCAAAACCCAAAACTGAAGATGCAGCTGACCTTGTGCCGAATCTCGGTTGGAAAGATAGAGCCAAAGACATACAAGAAAGAGAAAAAACCCCAAGCCCCCAAAAAAAAAACACAAAGAGCAAAAAAAAACAACAAATATTAAAAGAAACATCCAAAGACGCGGACCACTGCCACAATCCACACTCCACCGGCACCGCCACTCTCACTCTTGATCGTCTGATGTCTGATATCTGATGTCTGATCGTCTTTGGGTGTTGGCGTTGAAAGCCCCAAAGGCAACGACAATCGAAGGTGGCCTTTTGATAGGCACCCACCCATACAGATTGAACCCCCAGCATTGACATTGAAACACACAGAGAAAGAGCGATAGAGGAGAGAGTTTGAGCCAAGGTGTTTCCAGGTGCCCCACCGACGAGACCTGAATACCAAATGCAAAATGTCTTGACAGTCAGGAAGTCATCGGGTAGTCTCTGTCTCTGTAGATCAGAAGAAGGCTGTCGATCGTTGCGTTGCGTTGCTCTGCTGCTCTGCGATCTGTTTTTAGCGCATCTTCGAGCATAAAATTGCCAAACGAGTCGCGTTTTTACGAGTATTATGCGACGACTCAATTAGGCAATGGCAAATGTAATTATTACACTCGCTATAAACACTCGCACACACGGACGGACGGACAGACGGACAATAAAGTAAAAAAGTAATTATGAATTATGAATTATGGCTGAAATAACGACGGAGAATGTTAGCAATCCCATAAACACTTTGATTCGACTGTGATATCATGACGAGAAATAATAATGCGACTAATGCGTACAAATAATTCGAAGAGGAAATGATCGGGGAAGCAAGGCAGTCCAATCCAGTGCTGAGGAGAGTCAATAAAATATGGATGCTAGGCTACATTGATTCCCTGCAGATCCATAGTGCCACAGATGTTAAACAGAAATTTATGATCTTCAAATTCTGACGCTCAGAATTGTTTTAAGATGTTTTGGGTGGGTCGGCTTGATCCACAGATACTCGAAAGTTAATAGATTCGATTTAGAATGTTTGGGCTGTGTTTTATTTGCTTTGCTGGCTCTGATCCTTTTTTCGTGTGAGGGTTTGCTATGGCCCCACCCATGAGATCGCATCATCGTGTCACAAATATACACCGCAGAGAATAAATTAGCAGTGCTCAGGGCTATCGCTTAGAACCTTTGGTGCCCGTACCCCACAGATGAGCGGCTGGATGGGATGGCTACTTTCAAGTTCAAAGACTTTGCGTGTTTTGTTGTTTGTTGAAGCCAACTGCCAGAGTCTTAAATCCACAACACACGACTCTAATGTCTCCAACATTTGATCTGTCTGTCAGTTTCCCCATCTCCGGGTTCTAATGACCAAAACAAACATTAAAGAGGCAGCCGCAGCCCCCCAACATTCAGCAGTACCCAAAAAAAAAGTATATGTTGTACAATACAAATTAAATAAGGAAATGTGCCAACATTTTGCGATAGGTAATTGGCGTGGCCTTTGAACTGATCGTTGAGCCAGAGAGACACAGAAACCAAGAGACCGAGCGACCGAGCGACCGAGAGGGACCTTGTTTGAAACGAGAATACAGAAGTCGATTGATTTGCTGTGCCAATATTTATGCGTGTTATTTATTGATGGGAGTAAGTGCCGACAGATTTACGAGTTGTTTCAGCAAACAACGAGCAACCTGAGCATACATCATGCAACAGCTGTAATGGCTTTAACCTCCCCACAGCCCATAGCCACAGCCCACAGCCCATAGCCCATCTTAGTACATAGATCTTTGTAGCTGCCATGTTTTTCTTCAGAATTCACACATAGTACTCGTAGTACTCGTACTTGTACCATATAAATATAAATAATGCGTTGGACCACTCCCAGAACCCAACAAAAAATTCAACTATGCAAACAAAACAAAAAAAACAAAACAAAAACTGCAATTAGTGGACGATTCGACTGGCAGCTACCCGCACTTTCCGGAGATATCTTTACAGCTCTCCACAAATCGGCGATTAAAGGGGATTTAAATATTACATGATCAAAACAACTTTAGGTGGATCGTTAAAAGATAAATAAACAAGAATCGAGTGGTTCTGCTCCGACGCATTATATCATTGTACGTACGTATCAGCTGTGCCTGGCAGAGAGTCTGCTTTGGGAGACATACCGAGATGATGATGATGATGATGCCAGAAGTCTATGCCACAGATCTTTCTTTCAATTAGCCCTTGCAGATCATTAGTGGAAAGCCTTTCCCCCTCGCCCTGCAACATACTCGTATCCCGCTTCTGCACCGCGATATACCGCCCACCCCTGCCCGCCAGCCATCGAACAATATTTTTATGGATTCTGACGCAGGTCTTATAATAAGTATGTAATTTATTTTATATTTTTAGCCCCTTAATTGCACAGTTAGCAGTTGGGACGCGTAGACAGACCATTTCTGCGGCTATTTTTATGTGTTATTTTTGTTTGTTTGATTTATTTTTGCGATTTTCGATACTCGATATTCGCTCTTTGATTTTGTTGTTTGCCATTTCGCAATAGGGGAGCCCGAAAGGTTTACAAATAATAATAAAAAAAAAAAAAAAAAATAGCAAAGAGACAAAACAAAGGAAAAATTATATTGGATGTAGGTACAATAATAGCAAACTATTTGATGGTGGTGTTGGTGGTGGAGGGGGAAGGGCGCCATTATTTATTGCCATTATATTTATACAATCGTTTCATCAATCAAATGGATTTCAACAGCTTTGTCACTTAGTCTAGTGGCTGATGGCTGATGGGGCACTGGGCCCCTCCCTAATTATGGTCGACTGCAATCGGTTTTTTTTTTCTTTCATTTTTTTTTTACTGTCTGTTAACACATTTGTTTAGCCCGCTCGCGAGCGCCGACCACTTGTGACTGCCTTTGTCCTTACCTTCAGATATTGCGAGGTACATGCCCCTCCACCCCTACTCGAACTCGTACTCGTATCTTAATCTTCTTGCAAATATTTTGATACATGTTCAAGTGCAAAAATGTGAACTTGGATCTCAACGTGGATTGGAATTCCCTTTGTGCAAAGGAAGGGCACTGAAGGGTGAACTGCTGAGTGGCAAATTAGAAATTAAATCTACCGAGCAGGACTCCAGTGGGAATTTCCTCTGTAATTCCCATTAATTTGGTGGCATTGTACGGCCTTCCCGTTGACAAGAATACCACGACATAAATCTGTTTTGTATGTTTCGGTTTTTTGTGGGGTAGCCAAAGCCAAGTTCATCGGAAACTTGGAGCGAGACCCGGAGATTGGGTGACTCTCCGGCAAATCGAGCACTGTCATGTTCGGTCTGTCTGACTGTCACCTTGATAAGCCCAAAGCCCCCACCCCCCATTGTCTGTCGGTGTGTCTGTCTGTCCCATCTGTTGATCTTGTTCGACTTCGGGCTTCAGCTTCCATTTACCGAAAAAGCGTTAAACGCTTGAATGACACGTTCAATTGAACAGAAATACCCCGCAAGAGAAGAAGTGGTACGATATACATATATGTATGTATGTATGTACATATCTGTGTACTTATCTTATACAGATATATACATATACTGTATATTTTGTACATACATATGTATGTGTTGAAATGTCCGCTACTGCGGACTACAGGCAAAGGCCCAAACAAATCAAGTGACCTCAATCGCTAAATTAAATTGAAAACATGTTTAAACATTACACAAAGAGCCGACGACACACACACAGATGCATATGCTGGACAGTAACAGTAACAGTGTGAAAGGGATAGAGAGAGAGAGAAAGAGAGCGCTGAGTAGTGTTGTAAAGTGTTTTGAAGTGTTGCAAAGTCTTGAAGCGTTGAAGGAACGAACAAAGTTAATTGTTTCATTTTGGCACATCTTTTGATTAACACTCGAACATATTTCAGCACATCCACAGTCCCATGAAGCTGGGTAGTAGTTCCACCATCCACCAGTCACAATCCGCGACATGGTCATGGCCATGTCTTATATAACCTTACATAGATGAATGCATGGCTTAGATGCATTTGTACGCAAGATAATTCCTGTTTTGCTCTCAAGGCTTACTCCAGGGGAAGTGGGAAGTGGAAGTCAAAACAGACTTGGAATTTGAAGTTTAAACAACGCAAAACCCCCTACCCCTCCCCCTCCCAATGGAGACACATTTGCCTCTCTAGCCGTATTCGTCCGTCCCGTATTGCCAGAGTGGGCAAAAAACTGGTTGCCCCAGTCACAGGTCGCCATGGCTGGCTGCAACTGGTTCTGAGTGCCGCTGCAAACTAAATCAGAGGCAAGCAAAAAGGAAGGACTTCTCGACTCGACTCGACTATAGTGGGCCCCGGAACTGGACATGCTGAATGCGCTGTAATCTGACTAATTGGGTTGATTGTTGGCCACCCAAAGGAGCGGCTGGAGAGGCACAACTCGATCGGCAGAGGGGAGGTTTACCCTTTTGGGTTAGGGTATGGGCAGTGTCGTCGAGGCAGCAGTCACAACTCCACGACGCAGATGATGATGCTGATGATGATGGCGTTGGCAGCTTGACGGCTTCACTGGCATTACATAATTTCAGCTTTTTATGTGCCACATTCACAAACACACACACAGACACAGAGTGATCCGAGTTTAGCAATTCCTGATGCCCTTCTCTTTGCTTATCATCGCCTTTACTTTACGTTACCTTTACTTTACTTTACCTTTTCCCTGTTTTTGCTGCTGCTTGCAGTGGACGATGCTTCCGGCCATTATACATCCGGTTTCTTCTATGGCAACAACTATTGGATGGGTTCGTTGGCCCTTTGCGATGCCATTGACGATGGCCAGACAATGTCTGCCGCTGCCGCTGCCGCCGCTGCCAACGGCAAGGACAACAGCTCCGCCTCGGAGGATGCCGCTGCTCACCCAAATCGAAACAGTGGCCTGCCCTTCGCCGCGGCCCACACGCAGGCCTACAACACAGTCTACAATGCACCGCCGCCCTTTGTGCCCGGCTTCTATGTGATCAAGATGCAGCTGAATGAGACACAGCCCACCGAAGTTGTAAGTGCCTCTGCACATCTACAGATGGTAGCTGCATTCCCTGGATCAGATCTCTACCTTCGAATTTTCGCTAACTTCTTTTCTCCCCTTCTCTGCCCCAAAGGTGCGCACCATTTATGTGGGCATGTGTCTGCCCTCGAGCTGCTCCATTGCCGACATCAACGAGATGACCAGCCATGCCCGCCTGGAGCTGCCGACGCGGGAGCTGCGCGTCCTCGACATTCGCGTGCCCACCGACAAGGAGTTCAACATTTGGGCGGACAAGACCTTCTGCCTGCTGATGTAAGTAGAGATTTCGATTTCGATTTCGAACTTCCAAATCGAATTCACTTTCAAAAGTGAATCGCTGGCTGCCTCTGGCTGCTAACCAATTGGCCAAACAGAGTCCGGAGATTGGAGCTTGGAGCTTGGAGATTCGGATTCGGATTCGGCTCCGTGTGTTGGTTTATTTTTTTCTTTTATTTATTTGCCATTCATTGGCTCGTAGTGTGAAATCGGTTGGCAACCGCACACCTCACCACCATCCCCCGCCATCCCCCCCATCCCAATGGACAGTTGGATAGTTTTTTTTTGTTGTTGTTGTGTTGTATTAAAAAGCGAAACTCCGTCTGTTTGCTGCAACAATTAGCGTGGTGGAGTAATCGAACCGTGTGTGTGTTTTCTTTGTGCTCTTTCCCGCAGCGTGGTGTCGGGCATTGTAATGGGGCTGATCTGCTGCGGCACCCTGTACGAGATCTATCTGAGGCGTCGCCTCAAGGAGGCGCTGCGTCGCCAGGACAAGGAGATGATGAACAACAGCGAGACGAGCTCGGGCATTGGGTGTGCCTCCTCCGACTACAGCGACACCATGACCGCCCACGATGATCCCCTGAAGCAGTCCTCGCACACCTCCCAGTCCAGTTCGCTGAAGCAGCTGGATCAGCTGGTCCTCAACCTGCCGCCGCCACTCACAGGCAATGACAACGACAGCGGCAATGGCCATCACGATCACCACTCGCACGGTCATGGTCACGGGCATGAGCTCGAGCACGAGGAGGATCATCATGGGAGCAGCAGCAGGAGCAACAACAGCAACTCGGATGAGCATCTGGAGGGGCATCTGCACGAGCCGGAGAAGCTCAGCATCTACTCGGAGCTGCTGCTCTCCTTCTCGGCGATCACGAACTTCAATGCGATCTGCGATCGGAATGTCGGCGCGGACACGATACCCTGCATCCATGGGCTGCGCGCCTTCAGCATGGCCTGGGTGATCCTCGGCCACACGTGCATCGTCGTCTTCAAGTACTCCGACAACATGGAGATGCGCAAGAAGGTCGAGCAGAACTTCTTCTTCCAGGCCATCACCAACGGCCCGTTCAGCGTGGACACGTTCTTCTTCATCAGCGGCTTCCTCATCTCGTACATATACTTCCGCACCAATGCCAAGGGCAAGCTGAACAAGCTGAGCAAGGGCGCCAATGAGTTCACCGCCGGCACCGCACACTTCTTTGGCCTCGTCGCGTACCGCTTCATGCGCCTCACCGCCCCCTATCTGTTTGTGCTGGGCGTGGTGCAGGTGACGATGAAGTATCTGGCCGCCTACTCGATCTTCGATCCACCCACCATGGATCACATCACCTGCCCGGACTACTGGTGGCGCAACATTCTGTATATCAACACCCTGTTCCCCGTCGATGAGATGGTGAGTTGAGCCCATTCCCCCCCATTCCCCATGGTGCCACAGATCTCTAATCTCTCTCTCACTCTCTTTCTGCAGTGCATGCTCTGGAGCTGGTATCTGGCGAATGACACACAGTTCTACATGATCGGTGCCATCATTCTGATTGTGGGCGTGCGCCACTTCAAGCTGTCGGCCATTACTACGCTGGTGTTCCTGGTGCTCTCGTGGATCACCACCGCGGTGATTGCCTTCACCAACAACCATCGCCCGAACACCGACGATCCCTTGGCGCTCTTCGACAAGATCTACGACAAGCCCTGGACCCGTCTCGGGCCCTATCTGATCGGCATGGCTGTCGGCTGGATCCTGTTCCGCACCAACTGCAAGATTCGGCTGCCCAAGCTGACGGTGGCCACCGCCTGGGCCCTGGCCATGCTCAATCTCTTTGTGCTCGTCTTTGGGCTCTACCAGACGGATCTGTCGCAGTTCACGGCCGCCGCCTACAGCTCGCTGAGCCACTCGGCCTGGGCGCTGTCCCTCGCCTGGATCACCATTGCCTGCTCCACTGGCTACGGGGGCTACATCAACTCGCTGCTGTCGGCGCCCTGCCTCTATCCCTTCTCGCGGGTCACCTACTGCGCCTATCTGGTCCATCCCATTGTCATACGCTCGATGGCGCTCAACTCGGATGCGCCACTGCATCTGGGCGGGGATCTGATGGTAAGTAACTCGTAATTATGGCTGCAAAATCAAAGATAATCTTTATCTATCTATCATCTATCTATTTGTTGTGTAGGTCGTCTTGTTCTTTGGTCTGACGGTCGCCTCCTACTTCCTGTCGTTCGTCGTCTCGATGTCCTTCGAGGCGCCCGTTGTCACAATGCTGAAAATCTTGTCACCTAGTCGAAAGAAACGTCTCGCCTAAAGCCCCATCCCAAAACCCATATCCGATTATTTATGCGTTAATATACATACATACATACATACACAATCCATGTTATCATGTTATCTATTCCTCGTCCTTGTGCTTGTCCTGGAACGTAATCAAGCAACGTACCTCCCCCCCCACATATTTATAGCATCGATTCATACACATACATACATACACGATTCTCTAGTTCAGATCGTTTTCTACTATATACTTATAAATAAACAAAACATAAATATATATCTAAATATGTATCCTTCAGTCCTTGACTCTATCTCTCTCATACATGCATACATATGTACATGCATCCTGTATGCGTTCCATTAAATTGTTTTTTTTTTCGCGTAAAATTCTTCTTTATTTTGTCTCATATTATTTTTTGTTTTTGTTTTCATAATGTGTACATTTTAGTCCTTTAATTTATTCCAATGGTTTGGAAATTTTGTGCGCGACGATGAGCAATACATATGATATTTAGTACTTATGTAATAGTAATAATTATACGAAACTCTAGTACCTAATTTTATAAAAATCATGTTGTATATATACTCTATACTCTATATTGTTATATATAAATCTTTAAATAAAAACTGCTACCAAATACAACTTTCCAGGCGATTTCTTTATTTATTTTGTATTTTCAAACCCTGCATTCGTTGGCGCCACTACCAGCAAGGAGCCAATTAAGCTGCGCCACTAATCATACAGTATATAGATGTGCCAGTTCATACAACGAAAGTGGCGCAGCCGAGTTTTCAGCGATTTTCGTTTCATATCAGTCAGCTTTTGTCAGCGAGCAATTCGAATTATTCGTTTCACATCAGTCAGCTTTTGTCAGCAAGCAATTCGAATTTTTCGTTTCATATCAGTCAGCTGTTGTCAGCGAGCAATTAAACTATTTCGTTTTATATCAGTCAGCTTTTGTCAGCAAGCAATTCGAATTTTTCGTTTCATATCAGTCAGCTGTTGTCAGCGAGCAATTAAACTATTTCGTTTTATATCAGTCAGCTTTTGTCAGCGAGCAATTAGAATTTTTCGGCTCATATCAGTCAGCTTTTGTCAGCGAGCAATTCGAGTTTTCGTTTCATAGCAGTCAGCTTTTGTCAGCGAGCAATTCGAATGTTTCGTTTCATATCAGTTAGCTTTTGTCAGCGAGCAATTAGAATTTTTCGTTTCATAGCAGTCAGCTTTTGTCAGCGAGCAATTATAATTTTTTCGGTTCATATCAGTCAGCTTTTGTCAGCGAGCAATTAGAATTTTTCGTTTCATATCAGTCAGCTTTTGTCAGCGAGCAATTCGAATTTGTCGTTTCATAGCAGTCAGCTTTTGTCAGCAAGCAATTCGAATTTTTCATTCCATATCAGTCAGCTTTTGTCAGCGAGCAATTCGAATGTTTCGTTTCATATCAGTTAGCTTCTGTCAGCGAGCAATTAGAATTTTTCGTTTCATAGCAGTAAGCTTTTTTAAGCGGCTTATTTTTCGGTTCTATCGTCGCTTTGTCAGCGGCTTAACTTTTCGTTCTTCGTGTGTCGCGGCTCTTTTCGTTTCTCGTCGCTGCGCTTCCCGCGTCCGTGCGGCTTAGCGTCCGTCCCGCTCTCGTCCTGTCGCGGCCTATTTTCGTTTCATATCAGTCCGTCGCGTCCGCGCATCGTTCATATTAATCAGCTTTTGTCAGCGAGCATTTACAATTTTTTTCGTTTCATATCAGTCAGCTTTTATCAATGAGCAATAAAAAACATTTTTTTTTTGTTTTCTTAAATTTGTATTAAATTTGTTTATATTTCCTAAATTATTACATTTTTCCTAAATTCAAAATTTTTTTTTGTCAGCTCGTCGGCTCGTGTCACGTCATAAGCCGATCGCGATCGTCTCCAGTGCCGAAGACCTGAGAACTCAGCTGCGTCACTTTCGTCGTATGAACTGGCATACTGTACTGTAAACGGCTGTTAGTGGCTGTGCACTGTCACGTTGCCAGCCCTGGAAATAACATCTGTAGACATCGAAAGCTTACGACCGTTTACGGTATATTAAATACTTTGCAGTGTATAATATAGTATATTTCATGGTATATTACGGTATAGCTCCCAGGGAGAGACGGTATTTTATCGAAAAATCCGCAATAAGTCTGAACAGTGTTGTTCAGCCCTAAAAGCACCGGCATTTTGATTAAAGTTTGACTAAACCATTTTTTTTTAAAAAACCCTATTTTAAGGAGAATCAAATCAAAATGAGTACTAAAAATTAGAAAATCTTCTAGGTAACTGATCAATTTATCGTTGGAAATTATAAGGTCAGTGCTGAGGGCTCTGGATAGTTAGTAATTCAAAGTCGAATTTCAAAATCGGGAAATATCAAAGCAATAACGAAAGGCAGCGCTGCCGACGTCCCTGCTGTTGTTCAGCACTAAGTGCACCGGCAAAAGTGCCGTACGATGTGGCCGGTCTGAGATTCAAAGCTAAATTTATCTAGATTTCACATTGGGTTCACCCCTTCCCCACGGTACAGCGACCACGACCCACCCCACCGTATCATCAATCAGCTTGGCTAGCCGCCGAACGCCGACATGGCGATGCCATCGATCTCAACGATATTGGGCGTGGTATTCCTGGCCTACATCGCCCATTCCATCTACCAGATGTCGCAGCTCTTCACGACGCTGAGCTGCACGGCCCAGCCGTGCTACACGTCCTTCCTGGCGGAGAAGCCGCGCATGCAGCTGGCGCTCTTCACCTCGCGCACACTGCAGCCGATTGCCAGCGAGGTACAGGACATCTACAAGGCGAAGCGCTTCGACTACAGCCGCCCCTTCGAGCACGACTTTGAGGTGGAGGTGCCGTTGCGGACGCGCCGCAACGGCACGCTCTACATGCATGTGGTCCTGGCGCTGGAGGGTGAGCCGCTCGAGTGGCGCAGCCTTCGCCGCGACGGTCCCACCGTCCTGCACACGCTCAGTCTCACCGATTACATGGTGCCCCGTGCCGAGGCATTTAATCTGCTGGGACGAGACGGCGGATAAGCCTAAGCTGGGCGGAGGAGGAAAATCTGTGCAGGGTAAGGTGGCTGGCAAGCAGGGAGCAGCCGCCGGACGACCCAGCACCCACATGAGGTCCAATGTGTATGTGACACTGCTGACGGATCTGTTCTCGGTGTCGCAGGCGGATGTGCCGCCGGAGATGGCCCAGCTGATACGCGTCAATCGGATGCAGCAGATCCTGCCCATACTCCAGACGGACACGTTCAACACACGCATGAAGGACCTGGTGGCCATCACGCGCAACACAACCGAATTCACATTCAGCTTCCACTACAAGCCCGTGGGCGTGGGCAAGCTCCGCCTGATGCTGCTCATGGAGCACGCCACCCAGGCGCTGCTCACGATCGGCTTTGCCACCAAGGACATTGACGAGGTCAAGGGCATATTCTCCGACACGAACGTCTATCTGCTATGCGGCACCATCTTAGTGTCCAGCATTCATGTGAGTACCATCCGCCGGATTTGCCGCTCTCAAGATTGCATCCTCTAAATGGTATTTGCTGTGTCCGCAGATGCTCTTCGATTTCCTCAGCTTCAAGAATGACGTCTCCTTCTGGCGCCAGAAGCAGTCGTACGAGGGCCTCTCCACCCGCACCACCCTGTGGCGGGCCTTCTCGCAGTTTGTGATCTTTCTGTATCTGCTGGACGAGAACACCTCGTATCTGGTGATAGTGCCCGTCGGCCTGGGCACCCTCATCGAGCTGTGGAAGAGCAAGAAGATACTGCGCCTCGAGCTGAGCTTCAGCGGCTTTGTGCGCCGCAAGCTGGAGAAGCAGACGGACGACGAGCAACCGAATGGCCAGCTGGCCGAACAGCAGACGGATCAGTTTGATCGCCAGGGCATGCGGTACCTCAGCTATCTGCTCTATCCGCTGTGCCTGGGCGGGGCCGTCTACTCGCTGCTGTACCAGCCGCATCGCTCCTGGTACTCCTGGACCCTCAACTCCATGGTCAACGGGGTGTACGCCTTTGGCTTCCTGTTCATGCTGCCCCAGCTGTTTGTCAACTACAAGCTCAAGTCGGTGGCTGCCTTGCCCTGGCGCTCCTTCATGTACAAGGCCTTCAATACGTTCATCGATGACTTTTTTGCGTTCATCATCACGATGCCGACGGCTCATCGTGTGGCCTGCCTGCGCGACGACATTGTCTTCCTTATATATTTATATCAGCGCTGGCTCTATCCCGTCGACAAGACTCGCCTGGATACGGGTTTGGCAATCACCGAAACGGCACCAGGACCGGCGACGGCAACACCAGCAGCAGCTGTAGCCGCAGCAGCCACTGAGCCACGAACTGCGGCTAGCCGGAAGAAGCGCAACTGAAAGATGCATTTGATAAATGGAGAGACAGAAAGTAGATTGCACATTCCATTCCGTCTTTAGCTGCTAGGTCTAGCCTAAGAGCGTGGTCAATTTTTAGCCCCTAGATTTGATAAAATCCTCAACAACTCCGTCAAGTAGAATTTGTAGCAACAAAAGAACAATTAAAAAACAAAAACAAAAAGAAGGCCCCCCAAAAGGCCCTTTGATGTAGTCTAAAAATCTTGTGTATTTTCAATGGGTTACAACTGGTGTTCGCTCTCTCGCTCGCGGGATGCTCCCGGGGGGGGGAGGGGAGGGTTGGGTTCAGTATGGGTGTGGTGGGAAGCAGCCAAGGGAGATGGATTAATGGATAGGCTTCTGCTATAATTATTTGTGCCACTTTTATTCTCTTAGTGCAAGTCCAATATTTGTGTGTGGTGTTCAGGCAGGGGAAGGGATGCGGTAAAAAAAAAGAGTCATAGTTGGGTTGGGTTGGGTGGGGAGTGGAGTTGAGGGTAGGGGATTCTGCTTGATCCTACATTTTCATTGCCTAGCCATTGCGTATCCCCAGGGCCTGCTCCAGTTCGGCCCGCTTCTGATTTACTTTGGTGAAGAAGTAGCGCGAAACGGCTTCGTGCGTCCACGGCTGATAGTAGAATTCGGCGCGTCGCTCCTCCTCGGGATTGCCCACAATATCCGTCATTAGCTGTGAAAGAGAAGCAAAGCGAAGGATGATTGATTGGTCTCTGAATGGGATTTGAGATGAGATTTACCTTCAAGTCACGTGTCTGACTGATTATCCAGCGATGGATAAACATTTGCGGATCCTTGGCAAAGCTGAGAAAGAATTCACGATTCGTTTTCATCTGATTGATGGTGTCCACTGTCTCGTGTATCTTCGTGTCCAGGCCCTGGATCTCCTGCTGGCTGGCGGTGCTCATCAGGAAGTTGTTCATCTGATTCTTGAGCGTGTCATCCACCTCGACATCGATGTCATAGCAGGCCGTCTGCTTGTTCTCCGCACAGCTCTCGATGAAGTGATTGATCACAATGGGATCTGGTGGATGCAGCAGCGGATTGAGCCGCTGCGGTATCTCGGCGAACTTCATGCGCTGGCAGCTGAATATCTGCTCCAAATACTTGTCACAATTGATGTACTCCCGCTCGTGGGCGTCCTGCAGCTTGTGCGTCTTGATGTACTGCCAGAGGGCCGAGATGATCACCGGACGCGTCTGGGTGTGGACGCCCAGCAGGCGGGCGAGCCGCGGATCCAGCTTGAACTGCAGCGGCTGGTAGTCGAGCAAGAGTAGAATGGTGCAGCGGACGTTGCGATCGCCGGGTCGCTTCACCTGGAAAGCCATCTGTCTCCTGTGTGGTATGGGTGCGATGCCATTCAACGAGATGGTTGTCCGGCCCATACAGCTCCTTGTCCAGCTCAATGACCAGAGATTTGAAGAATGACGAGAATTTGCGCTTGATCTTTGTATTGGGATCGCCCTTGCCATCCTCTAGCAGGCGACCCTCGACGCGCAGCTCCCAGGAGGCGACGGCACCCTCCTCACCCTCGTTGGAGGGCTCCTTACTGGGGTAGAATGTATTCGAAATGAAAATGCGCAGCTTGCGCTTCTGCTTCATGGGCCGCTTCAGGGCCTCCTGGATGTCCAAGCGCTTGCGCATGATTGTCGCATCCAGCTTGCGCTCGAAAGTCAGCAGATCCATGTACGCCTGCGACTCTGGCACCAGGTCGCGCACCTTCTGTGGCAGTATCTTATCCGCCAGCTTCTTCTTTTTCTTGGCGGCGCCGAACTCTCCCTTGCCAGCCCCGCTATTGAGGCTGCGCGACTCGGCCGAACGCTTGCTGCCACCACCGGAGCCGCCGCCACCACCGCCAGTGCCACGCAGAACGCTCTGGAATGCCGGCTGTGAGGCGCGCTGCAGTAGCGAGGGTCCAGGTCCGGGTCCGGGAACGCCCGGAGGTGCCGCCGTTCCAGGCACGGGCTGCGTTGTGTTCGGGTGCAGCGGAAAACCGCGCGGCTATACAGATACAGACACAGACACACTCGGTTTGACATTTCATCCAGGCAAAGCAAATCGAATCAATCGATGATAGTTATTTTTTTTTGTTGCTTACCGGAAAAGTTGCTCCTGGCGGCGGATAGGGACGCATGCCGGGTGACGGCGGTGGCGGTTGGTAGCGCGACTGCACTGGCGCTTGGCCAGGTGCAAAACGTTGCGACATTTTCGCCTTGCCTTGCTACGTTGAGGGCACTTTTAATTTGCTTATTTCACGGGAAACTTGACTCTTTTTCGTATTACAACAACGCGTCACGCAAAAAAAAATTGGCTGTAAGATGGCGTCAAAGCAGGGTTGCATTTTACATTGGGGATGAGTCGCGAGATATCCGTAAAAGTATTTTTAAGAAACGAGTCACAGTCTGGATATAATTTACGAGTATACTTCAATGATTCGGATGTGTCCAAATGATTTGATTTCATTTTTAATATCAATTAAATTATTATTTTTGATTACTGCAATAATTTAACTATTTAAATAATATTTAAATATCGCTGTGACATCGTATCAAACTATCGATGAGGGAAACGTCATCGAAAAGAAGTCACTAGCTAATTCGATACTTTCCAATTTAATCAACTCATCTTATATCGATAGACTGGATGCTTCTAGCTGTTTTTCTGCATTTTTAAAGAAACTTAATAACAAAAACGCAAGTAATGGAGACAACATGGTGGGTGGCCCACCTAAAGGCACTGCATGACAAGGAGCAGCGCCTGGAGGCGCTAAACCAAATGAACACAGCCATCAACAAAGCGCCAGCTCTGTCGCGCGAAACGATCGAACTGCTGTTGAACTGCCCGGAGATGTACGAGTGCGCGACGATTGACAGCGAGGATGAGCAAAAGAAGCTGAACCAGCCAGTGGTCGATGCGACCATAGAACTACTGCGCCTCAGCCTGGATACACTGGAAATCGATACCGAGGACGAGAAGCTGCCGGGACTGCTAAAACGCGGGCTGACTCATTCCAATGCCAGCGTGCGCGCAGTTGTGCTCAACAATCTGCTGCGAGAGCTGCGCCGCCAGACCAGGGAGTGCTCTGTGCGTCCGCTGCCCAGCAACGACCTGATCGTCTACGTGCTGGACGAGCTGCAGCAGCCCGAGTCGGAGTGCAGCAGTGCTGCCATCAGCATTCTCGCGATTGTCCTCACCCTGCGACTCGACGATGCCGAGATACAGTCCAAGCTGGTGCAGCTGCTGCAACAGAATGAGGTCATCCGTTGCCGCGCCTACGAGCTGGGCGTAATGCTGGCCAAGCGCAGTGCGGGATCGCTTAAATGCGTCGAATTTATCCTGGATGCGGCCCTCAGTGAGCTGGACAACACCGATGTGCTGCTGCAGGCCAGTGTCATGGAGATCCTTGTTCCGCTGGCGGACCAGAACCACGGACTCACCTACATGGAGCGGCGTCGCGTATTCGATGTGATCAGCTCTCGAGTGCAGAGAATCGAGCAGGAGCCGCTCAACGTGCTGCTAATTCCGAATATCATGAAGTTCTTTGGCAAAATAGGCGCCGTTCAGCCGCAAAAGATCATCACCGACTACCCCATCATGGTGGAGTGTCTCTTCGATCAGCTGAAGCACGAGGACGAAAGCATCCTGCCCACGGCAATGGACACTCTGGCAAATCTGACGAGCACGCCGCAGGGCAAGGTACTCATTTCCATGCGCTTCGAGCAGGCCATGCTGCTGGCGCTGAAAACTCTTGGTGTCTACCTCCAAAAGCTATCGCCGCAAATCAAAGTCCGTCTGCTGGAGTCGCTGAATGTTATACTGGCGACAAAGACGCGTCCCAACTCGGAGATCACGTGAGTCCACTGCTCTGCCCTGCCCCAGAATGATATTCCCAGCACCAGATGCACTGACGATTGGATTCCCTCTTTTATTTTAGCACGATCCTCCGCCGCTGGTACGAGAGCTTTGCCGGGGGCGAGCAGGTGAACTACATCATGGGCCTATACAACACACCCTTCGACGATCTGCAGATCGGTGCCCTGAACCTGCTCAAGACCCTCTGCACCTATAATTGGGGCATTGTGGCGCTGCATCACACTGGCGGGGCCGTCGAGCATCTGGTATCGCGTCAGCGCGATCTGCACAAGGATGTCAAGTTCCTGAAATGGGAGATAGTCGGGACTGCTGGCCGGCAGCTCTGAGTTCACGGCCACCGAGACGGTGCGCTTCACCGCCTACGTGAATGAGGGGCCCTACTATGTGCCCACGCAAGTGAACATTGCCACCGAGTCGCAGGGCTAGAGGACGGGAGCAATGACCAACGACACACACCGACGCGGGCAGCCATATCAAGAGCCCCAAACAGAGAAACAGAATGCATAAAACTCCAAATTTTAAGTTCAACTTTCACATGGAACCAGATCGGCTCGGCTCGGCTCGGATCGGCTCGGGATTGGATCGTATATAGTTTTGTGGGTTAATTAGTACACGTAGATAGATTCTTTTTGGCGATTACAAATCGAATGAAATGCAAACGGATGCAACTAACTTTTGAATTGTATTTATAGAGTTACAATTAAATTTAACTATTAGATCAGCTATCACATTCCACTGTGTGGCCAGTCGCCTGTCGCCTGTCCAGTCCAGTCCAGTCCAGTCTGTCTCCATGCCACATGCAACACACTTTACAGATAGCTCATTTGGCGATGTGACATCCGCTTGCGACCGGACCCACCGCCGCCAGTGCCGCCGAGGTGAGCCAGACTGACGCTCAGGCCGGACTCGTAGCCGGTCTGGGTCTGGGAGCGGGTCTCATTGTTCACCAGCGAGCAGCTGGGCAAAGTGTGGCAATAGCGTCGCAGTTGCTGCTTAAACGCCGCCGTCGTCAGTGTGTACAGCACGGGATTGAGGGCCGAGTTCACGGGCAGCACCAGCACCGCCAGCCAGGCATACAGATCCGGTGAGATGACACAACCTGGCGATAAATAGCGACAAGTGGCGACACTCCAGCCTCAAATGCAAAATGGAGAATGCAATTTGTGTGGCACAACAAAAACTCACCCGAAAGGGCAGCCACCTTCACCACTATGATGGGCAGCCAGCAAGCGCAATCGGTGGTCACAATGATGGCAAAACTAAACGATGAAGGAATAGGAATAAAGTTTGCGGCTTTGACTGCCCCTCGCCACTGCCCACCCCACCGACTCTACTCACCGCGTGGCCACCACACTCTCCCGTCCGCTGTGCGTGCTACGCATGCCGCCGCCCGAGTCGCGTATGGCCTGCAGCATGCGCACATAGGAGAACAAAATGAAGACCAGCGACAATGTGTTGACACAGATGAAGAGCAGCGCCGAGTACTCCCAGCCCTGAAACGAATTAATATCCAATTATCCATCATTAGCGCCTCGTTGGCTCTGGCGCTGGCTCTGGCTCACCTTTGCGTAGGGATCGTGGATGTGCAGTGAGAGGCAGACACCGTTGTTGCCATAGAAGTGGCTGCCAAAGTAGGCGTTGGGCAGCAGTGGAGCCGCCGCCAGGCCAAAGCTAACGCCCCACAGCAGCAGCAGTCGCAGGACGATACTGAAAGGAGCAAACAATCAAGGATCAAGCTTAAAGTGGCCGACAATTTAATGAATACTGGTCTGGACACAGACTTCGTGCGTTAAAGGGAACGAAGGGAGCAATCGTGCCCTCACGATTGCGAGTCGCGTCCTGCGGCACTGCTTAACGGGAGTCAGAGGAGCTTCCGCGCACACGTGCGGGCACGTTTAGGATTTTCTTCTGTTCCTTTGGTGAGCGCTCTTTCGTTTCCTTTCGCTTGCTGCGCAAGCAAGAGCTTTGCTCTTGAGCTGGGCGAACCAGCTCCGCTAGGCCCTCGAGGCGACTTTGAATCTCGGCCAACTTCTTCAGGAGGTGCCCCTTTTCCTTCACAGTGGCCCGAAGGTCCATTCTGATGCTCCTTTGGGCGGTACTCTCACTGCTGTCGGAGCCATCTGTCTGCTGGTGTCGCTGTGAGCTCTGCTGGAGGAGGTGGTGCACTACATGGGGTTCCCTTTTCTCTGTGGGCTTGAGCGGATTCTGCAAATGTTTTTCGAGAAAACAAATGAGCAGCTCCAGCTCGCGTGGACTGAGATAGCAGATGGAAGTCTGTTGCTGGCTCCTTAGCTCGCGTCTTCACCATGCCCCAGGCCAAGAGGTTCTGCTCCTCTGGCTCCTTGCAGGGGGTCATCCCTGATCGCTGCTGCAGCGTCGAAGGCGGCAGTGGCGGCGGCGGAATGCCATGGAACTCAAACAAGGACACCCCGCGCTGGTTAGTGGAGTGGAAGGTGCCCCATAGAATGTCAGTGGATACCCAGGGAATCCCATTCGCTTACGGCTCTGTCCTCGGCTCCCGGCTGCACGAAGAAGGTGAGGCAATGGCAGACCGGGCAAAGGTCCGAAAGCCCCCTGATGTGGTGCCGCTCCTGCCGTCCAATCCTGGGACCAACAAACTCGAACTCCGGCTCGCAGCTGAGGGCTCCCTTCCTATGGCGGCACCGCGTGCACTCAAACATGCTGACAACGCGGAAACTGAACAAATTTTAAGCTGAATCTAAACACAATGAAAACTGAATGAACAAGTGAACAATTTCTACGAATGGAATTGGGCAGGATTGATTAGTATATAGAAGACTGCTCCTGACTGAGCCCTGAGCTCCTTCCCCCACTCGATCGATAGATCGAAACACAAAACGAAAGATCTCTTTGGTAAGGGTATCAGGTAGTTGGGCATTTCCTTTCATTACTCGAACTTACCGAATCTTTTCCGTGTCCCGCGGCTTGAGGGGCCGCGTGACGGACATCAGGCGGTCCCAGGTGACCAGCGTGAGCAGCAGCGTCGACGACTGGCAGCTAAAGGTGCTCAGAAATCCTAAATATAATTGAGGGGGAATGAATGTATTACAGGGAGGTCAGGGAGGATGGTTGTATGGTTGGATTACCTGCAAAGGCACAGATGGAGCTGTGCCGCCAGGCCTCCTCGTGCATGATGTACTCCCCGCGAAAGGTGATGTCCGCACAGGCGATCAGCGTCAGGTAGATGCCCATGAGGAAGTCGCTGGCCGCCAGATGGCGAAGGTACAGCGAGTGCTCGACATTGCTGCGCGACTTGTAGAAGTATCTGCCCAGCAGGACGAGCAGGTTGCCCACCACAGCAATGGCGGCCATCACCCAGACACTGCCAAAGAGACGAAAAGCGGTGAGGCAGGCAGTGAGGGAGCTGTGTGTAACCTTTGTCCAGCTCTATGCAGACAGGGACCCACATGGAACCAATGCCGAATGCCCATAAATTGCGGCAATTAAAGGAAATGTAAGACTCCGCTGCGGCAGTCCCCCTCCCCCCCGGTTGTCCTCTGACTTTGTATGCGATGTGTGCGATGTGTTCCCGCTTCTGTTTCTGTTTCTGTGACTTCGTGACCCTTACAATTGCCAATTGCCTGGGTGCCCCTCATTATTGCAGTTGTGCCACCAGGCCACTGGGAGGTGTGGCAAGGATGCTTCAATGGGGCACAAGCAGTCGCCACAGCATTCAGAGAAACAGAAACAGCAACAGCATTTGCTGACACTGACAATTATAGACACAGCCACAATGCTAACGAAGAGGAGAGCAGGAGGGGAGTGCGGGGGGGGGGGGGGTAGCAGGAGGGGTGGGAGTGCCCTCTGTAATTTATGCCAGTGGCAAGTGCTGTTCCGCTTCCCATTCATTTGTCACCGCGCCAAGTAGGTGCAGAATGGTGATTGACACTCATCAGGCTCATGCACAGAATGCAGGCGAGGCACATTAAATAAATCATAGAAATAATTGTGATAATTACACGTAATACCAGAATTAAGCAGAAATGAGCGAAGACTTTTGACTGGGTCGGGGTCACCTCGTTCACCTTTAAGCACAAAGTTTTCATTCGCTATGCCACATGTAGGATGTGGCCAGCTTTGCCATGGGATGGATCTGCAAATGCTCGGCACTCGGTGGGGGACAGGGGGGCAGCTGCTGGATAGAGATAGCGTTTGCAGGTGGCTAATAAAAGCACAGCAGCACTAGCAGGTAGCCAGGAGCAAGGAGCAAGGAGCCTGGAGCCAGGAGCCGGCAGTCAGCAGATTGGCACAAGGGAAAAGGAAAAAGGATCTGCTTCAGCGACTTGAAAGCCCTAAGTATTTAATTTTTATGAAAACATCAGCACGGAATAATGAAATAATTTCCTAAGCACAAAGTAAATTCTTGTCAGCAAAGTGTGTCCTTGGGTGTATCCTGCTCCCAGGATCCTTCCTCTGGCTGTCTGGACGTCTCTCCGTCTTCGTATGTGCCTGTCTGTCTGTCTGTCTGTCTGTGTGTCTGCCTGTCCGCACATGCTGTTGGTGTTTGCTTTTGGTGTTGGTGGAGTATTTGGATGTGCAGCACTTGGGAGGGAGGGGGCGAGTCAAAATGGAGATGAAGACGGCATGCAGAGTGTGCAAAATGTGTAAAAAAACAAACAAAAAACAAACAAACAAACACAAACAAACCAACGGGAAAATAACCTGCTGCTGGAAACGTAATTTTCATTTTCCGACCAAGACGAAGACGACGCCGTGGCAGGCAGCCAGATAATCACTCAGAGCAGTTGATGACAAGTGACTGCCGGTTGCCGGTTGCCGGTTGCCAGTTGCCAGCTTCCAGTTGCCACTGCCACTGCCACTGCACGACTCCTGCTGCTGCTGCTGCTGCTGCTGCTGCTGAGTCCCACCTATTTGCCTTGCCAAGTAGCTGGCCGTAAAAGGAAAATACTCAATGTTTGGATACAGGGGGCAGGCCCCCTTTAAGGATTTGGTATGGCTGAATTTAAGGGAATTAGTAGCCAAAATGGAATAAAAAGTAGGGGTAAAGGTAAGGGCTACCGATGGCAATTATGGCCAGGCCTTTCCACCCTTTGGCGACCCCAAACGACACGAAAAAACGCTCCTTTAGTTGCGTCAATCGATACCAAAGGTAATTCCATTGTTCCATTTCGATAGCTGATTGATGCCACAGCAAGCCTTGGCTTGTGGCCAGTCCCCCAGTCCACCCACATTTGAAAACCTGTCAAAATTGTGTGTGCCATTACAGCCACAACCCTTTCGGTCTCTAAATTAAGCAATTGGAAACAGCCAGCAGCCAATAGACGGCATGCTGACCGACACAGATAATCGTGGACTGCGTGAGCGTACGACCGTACGCCACACCGGCGGTGGGGCCTTTGGCGAGCTGACGCCCCTCAGGCCCGTGGGCCTGCTGGCGAGCGTCGCCGGACGCAGAGCGGCCGTGGCGAGTGTCGGAGACTCCGCCAGCGGAGTGACCCTGACCCCCAACGGCGGAATACATCAGCATCTGCGCTGGATAATCGTGTCGCAACGCATTCGTCGAGCGTTGTACCACGAGTGAG